AGAGGCTCGAACTGTCGCTGACTTGTTCTAACGCCGCACTCTGCAAACAGAGCCCAACTATATACCGCCGACTAAATATGTAGGTGGCTTTCATCTCAACAATAACATCAAATATAAAACGCGTCAACGCCAGAGAATAACCAGTTTCGAGTATCCAAACAATAGCTTCCAACGGGCGTAAAAGGCAAAATAGCGGTGAAAATTATATGAATGGATCAGTGAGTCATTGAGTACGGTGTTACGCCGCTTTTAGAGAAGTCCCAGCAATATCACGGCCGGGGACACCAGACAAGGGCTTCACACATTGTACCCATGTGGGGAATCGAACCCGGGTCTTCGGCGTGTCGTTTTTTCTTCAGATGTACAAACATAAGATTGACTGTAGCAGATAGAAATAATTTCTTTGAGCATATTGCTTTGAAAGTCCTTAAGTTAATACATTTACTTCATAATATAGCAATATTAAACTAGGTTGGGCTTGTTTACTTCACATAGGCATGTTCATTTGACAATAACCTAAATTACAGCACAAACTTGGAAATTACACAAAGTACATACTAGTCCAATAAAATGTGCAAAAACAATACCTTAACTGCACTAAACTGCACTCAATATTTTATATACCTTTCATAACAACGTTGGCCATGAGAATACTTATGAACAAAGGTTGAAGTCTAGGCAATATTTCCATAAGCCAAGTCAAAATCAGCCATAAAATCTAAATCATGAAGAATTAAGTAACCATGTGTGGTAGAAATTAAGAAGATGCACATACAAACAAATTCCTATTCATGAATTGCCAAATACTATTACTTTAGACCTCACAGACATTCCTGGCATGACTTCCCCATGCATGTTGCTCAAACCACATGGTGATTTGACCACACCAATCTGCGATTATCTCCCCTCTTATTAAGGTTGACATAAAATTGGCACATGATAAAAAATGAAACCTAAGATTCAAAACTATGAAATTAAAATAAATATCTTAACCATTACAATTATTCAATATTGTATAATAATGTTGTTATATGCAATAGACAATTTGTGGACGTATACTAAACCAGATTTTATACCTCTTAGCCAATTGAGCCATCATTAATCATTACTGATAGGAAATGGAAATAAGCATTTTGACCATTACACCAGGTGGACGCTTAAGCAATTCCCAAACAGGGGGCACGCTTGGCCCAATCGTCTAAGGCGCCGCAATTCGCTGTGCAGAGTTGCGTTCCTTGGGCACGCCAGAAAGATATGATTGTGGGTTCGAATCCCAGTTCGCCCCAATTTTATTTCTAGGTTTGTCAGCACCATACTCGTGCGGGTTTGTTTCACCGAAGTGGTCAACGTCTAAGACCTGCATCATTTCGGGCTTTCCTCCAACATTAAGCTGACACGCCGCGATATTACTGGAATAGTGTTAAAAGCGGCGTTAAACACAACTCACTCACTTCCCAAACACTTCATAACAGAGGGGTAGAACACAATGCGATCCTTAAACGTTTACATTTCATACTTTTGGTTGAATTTAGGTAGCAATTATAGCGACCCATTTGTAACCCTTACAAAAAGAAATGTTGTAAATGTTGGCGATTCTATTAATTTGTAGGCATGTTAATGTTGGGCTAATCTGAAATAAAAAGCACATGCACGATCATACTTTGTATGTATTTTGGGCTGGCGGTCTGTCACTGAATACATTTGCAATCTGTTTCGAAATATACAATGGCATTCACATGCTGCTTGAATATTAAAACATACTTACCGACCTGTTGAAGAATACTGACTCAGATAACAGCACAAATGCAGCATTATATATTGAAAACTGGAGTGATCTATTTGGTAGTTTGAGGGGTGTACAGGAAGTATAGTGCAGAAGCTATAGGTGGTTTCTGGGAAAGTGGGCAAAATACACAATTATACAATACACAAGTTTCGTTTTTGCATAAACCTGTACGTCGACGTTAGAGAACAAAAGTCAAATGCTACTGAGCTTATGATGAAATTTGGTGATTTCAGTGCACGAGAAGAAACATCGACCCAGTTCAAGTACATACAAAACGTCAACCCCAGAGAATAACCATCCTCAATTATCCAACGAAACAGATTCCAGCTAAACTTCTTGTTCTTTCACTATTAGGATGACCTAATGAATAGGCTAAATTTCTCATATTTTGCATATTCCACGACTGCATAAACATTGTAAGATCTTGTTGCTTATATATGCCTTTGTGACTGTCGTCGCAATTCCTACCTGGGTTACTACAAATTGAGAGAATGTGTGGGACTGCCAGTGTTGACCCGGTATGGTCTTCCGGGTATCGGCCGGCGCAGGATCCCCTTCCAAAGAGCATCTAGGTGCCAGTGAACGGGTTGCAGGTTTGCTAAATGAATTTTGAGCAGGAGAATTGCTTAGTGCTCAGGTTTGTGAATTATGGGTGTGTCGGATTTGAGAGTGGATTTTAAATGGCGCCTTATCAACCGGTTATCGGGTATTGTCTGATGGAGTCTTGGGTGGTTGCAGGTTCGCAGGAATATTGCTACGCGCCAATTTTCCCAACGATATATCACAAGGTGTTGATTCGTGTAATTATCATAGAGATAAGACGGTTTCTTACATTTCACATTTCCATTATAATTTCCATGTTATTGCAATTTCCAGTATCAAGCTGTGACAGTTTCACATTGCGAATTCCATTATAATATTCGCATTAGTGCCTCTGTTCATAAATCACCAGGCCGCAAAATGACCCATGTTCTGGTGTGCCTTCGCTATAACCGCATACATGTAAACCAAAGCGACAAAACCATTATCATAGCCATTCATAGCTAAAAAAGCTGTTGCCATTGTGGGATTCCAACTCTATCATAAACACGTATTTATTAATCACTATCAATAAGTGATGATATAAGGTGTCCGCGAAATGGTGAGTGTATCCTGCCCCACAGATGACACACGTCACCTACACAAGTCAACATATGATACACGTGAAACATAGGAAATTGCAACAGACACCATTTTTGTCACTGCTATCGAAAGCTATGCTGAGGCCTTGAACGTTGTGACTGCCTCCGTGGTCTAATGGTAGAGCGTCCGCCCGGAAAGCGGAAGGCCCGGGGTTCGATCCCCAGCCGCGTCATACCAAAAGACGTTAAAAGATGGTACTTGTTGTTACCCTGTCTGGCGCTCGGCATTAAGGGGCTTAAAACAAGGACTGGTCGGCTCTGAGTCAGTATACTGTGTCTGAGTGGGGTATTCATGTTAAACTGCGGCATGGTATCTCAGTGTGCTAGCACTATAAATCGGCATCAGTCCGGACAAGCAGCCACACACACACACACACACACACACACACACACACACACACACACACACACACACACACATGTCGCAATGTAAGTGCAATAATCTTGGACGCGACGTTAAACCCATTTAAGCTCACTTGAACGTGGCACACATAAAGAGCAACCTCCTCGTGGTGAGTGCTGGGTAGCGCTAATAGCTCTTCCCCCGTGTGGACTCGGGGTAGAATTTGTCCACGGCACCCCATTGCTGGTCGTAAAAGGCGACCGAATTGGGCAGCCTGTGTGCCGTGGGTTGCGCCCCTGTGTCGGCGGAGGACGGTAGTCTGGTGGTTGAGGGCACTGGATCCAGGAATAGCGTTCCTTTGCCCAATACACCACTTCGACCCTTACTTCGTCTAGACAGGTGGTTGAGGGCACTGGATCCAGGAATAGCGTTCCTTTGCCCAATACACCACTTCGACCCTTACTTCGTCTAGACGGGTGGTAAGATGGGCCCGGTCTTATCAAGCGGGTGGTCATGCCAAGCCCTGAGCACCTTACTTTTTGCTCACTGCTCTCACTATTTGAAATGTTACATATGAATATACATGAATATTGATTTTTACACTACTTGTTATATTCAAAATTTGCCTAGATGCCAGTGCCAGAAGGCGGTGGCTCATGGGCCAATCCGGTGGATTTATTGATCTTTGATTAGTACTTCTGCTTGAGTATACCCTCCTGGTATCCTTGGTGCCGTCTGTCGGAGATCCACGGACTTGTGGCATCGTCCACGTTGACACTCCATGGTGGGTGGGGAACTAGGAGGGTGAATCATATTTACTGCTACCATGGCACCCCCACTCAAAAAAAGTTCACACGAGTCTGATGATTCGTTACATTCTGGGGATAAAGATTCTCCACAACCTTTCATCAATCCTGATGCTTGATCTCGTTTTCTGGTCATGACTGCCCCGAATGGGGATCCTCTAAAATTACATCCATTTGCTATATCAAAGGGTATTGAAGGTTTAGTTGGTGAAGTCAAGGAAATAAAAAAATTGCGATCTGGTTCTCTACTGTCTCTACAGTCCCAAATTCTTCTTTCAACAAAATCTCTGGCTACTGTTCCTGTTGAGGTTACACCTTGTAGTAAAGGCATCGTTCGTTATATTGGACGATGCCTTTCTGATATGACTGAAATGGAAATTACACTCCCAAGGAGTTACTGCTGTCAAACGTTTAATGAAGTTATAAAAACCACCACCTGTCTTTTTACATTCTGTCTCCCACTGCGTCCAGAATCCCTAGTTACTGCAATTTAAGGGTGGATACTTTTATCCCAAATCCTTTGAGGTGTTACACGTGTCAAAAGTATGGACATGGCTCAAGGTCATGCCATGATCCAGCTGCATGTCATAGATGTGCTGGAACATGTGAAGACAGTGCCCACTGTAACAAACCTCCTCAATGTGTCAACTGCGCTGGCAATCATCCGTCTTCATCCAAGGAATGTCCTACTTGGAAACTTCAGTCAAAAATTTCAAGGATATGATATGAACAAAACATATCCCTTTTCGAAGCAAAGAAGGTTGTTCTTGCTCAAGAACAACCAGGACCATATTTTGCTTCTGCTGTTTCTACTTCACTGCAGGTTACTAAGACCAAACATGTTACTTGTCATTCCACAGGTAGCCAAACCGATTACACGTGGACAAAAACCTCTGGTCCTACTTTATTATCTGCAGCAGCCCAGGTGAGACACCCACAAGAGAACTCCAGCTCTCAAACATTACAGGTACTGACCCAATCCATGGCATCTTGTTATGAAGATGTAGCTTCATCTCAGGATCGGTCATCAACAAAAGTATCTGAACAATCAAAATCAGAAATACCCGTCAAACGACTTGCACAGAAAAAATGTAGACCTAAAACAGAATCTTTTAAAAAGTATCAAAGTGGAAGAGCCTCAAAAGGGGCAAATAACAAGATCTAACGTTTTAATAATTTCGGATGTCTTGAGGACACGGATGTGTCCGACATGAGCCATTACAGGGCACACAGCTTGTCGCCCTCATTGGAAGGTGAGGGGTAGGTCCCCAGTCAATCCCCCTAAAAGATAGTGTCTTCAACAAATATAGTACAGTGGAATTGTAGAGGATTAAAGACTAATATTAATGAATTACATCTATTAATCCAGGATCTTAATCCATCAGCATTCTGCTTACATGAAACATATCTAAAGCAGACAGACAATTTTATTTTATGTCAGTTCAGCGCATATCATTCGTTTTCTCCTCCAGGGGATAGGGCCACTGGAGGATCTTCAATCATTGTGCGACAGAATGTTATCCACAGTCCTGTTGTTCTCAATACTAATCTGCAAGCTGTTGCAGTGCGACTTACTTTGCACGTTGCATTTACATTGTGTTCACTATATATTCCGTGCTCTTCAGCTCTCAAGCAGTCGGATCTTCAACCTCTCTACGACCAGCTCCCTAAGCCCTGTGTAATCATGGGTGATTTGAATGTCCACAATCTACTCTGGGGTGGTACTAACACAAATACTAAAGGTAAATTACTTGAAGATTTTATATCTATTAATGATCTGTGTATCTTTAATGATGACTCCCATACGTATCTGCATTCAGCAACTGGCACTTACACTTCTTTGGATTTTACTGACTCTACTTAATGATTTCGAATGGTCAGTCCACAATGATCTTTGTGGAAGTGACCATTTCCCAACTATACTATCAACTGTTAATCCGACTGATGTTCCTCCTTCTACAAGATGGAATTTTACAAAAGCCAACTGGTCTTTATTTCAAACACTGTGCTTAAATAAAATTAAACCCGAATGTTTCACTAATGTTACTGATCCTATTCAAGATTTTTCTGACGTTTTAAATTGAATTGCTGACAAATGTATACCTAAATCTTCTATAATTCCACATATAAGTGAACCATGGTTTAACACCGAATGTAAACAAGCTAGAAAGGTGAGGAAAAGGGCAGTGAAATAAATTTAAAATGTTAAGAGTTGATGTCAGCTTTATGAGCTTTATGTCTTATCTGTGCAATTTCTCTCATGCAATTTTCTCGTCACGATATGGCTGAAATATTGCCGATGTGACGTAAGCATAAACTCACTCACTCACTCTCACGCAATTACCCACATTGTAGCAGCATACAAACCACAACTTTAACAACTTGACCATCAATCGCCCATAACCACTCCCATTGAGGCAAACACCCTTGGTCACTTATTTTTCACAGTTTGTTTGCATTAGCATTCTTTTCTTGTCTTTCGAGTAAAATAAATAAAATTATTCATGTCACGCACCTCAAGACGTAAAGATTTGTTGAACTCACCTTATATTAGCCCGCGATCATCTTACGCTAAAAATAAGATTCTCCAAAAAAGACAAGCAAGGTTAGGCAAGCATTCCACATCTTATGGCCCAACAAGATCCAAGGATATGCCCTGTAAAAGCAATGTCGCTGTTACTGTCAAGGCGGCAAGCAGATGCCTCCCTTATACATTAAGATAGCATCCTAAAGTACAAATGGAAATGAAAAAAACTGTTTTGCTGGATTTAATACTGACACAAAGCATTATGAGGATGTAAATACGAATTAACAAAACAACTGGAAAAGTACTAGTCTGGATTTGCTAGTTTTATCTCAGTGCTCAATACAAAATGTACTTTACAGGAGGTAATTTGTAGGCACTTTCAACATTCAAAAATAAAACTAAGTCCAAATTGACATGGCAGAAACAGGCTATAGGCATTATGCAAATTAGCCTGGGAAAAAGTTATCAAAACAACAATAAAAAAAACAGCTATGTTTATGTACATTATAATAATGACATGTAAGTTGTTGTTTGAGAAGGGAATATGTTACTTTTACGTTCTGATATTTTGACGATGATTCACTATCCCACAATGCCACTCACAAATCACTAACCACTGACAAATCACATGCACGTGGGTGTCAAGCACCTGTTTTCACCTGTCGTCAAGGTGTCATAGGTCATGGACATTCACCTTGATCTACTAACACCTGGTTATGCTCAGTTTCATAATAGTCTGTTTTGTTCATATTTTTACACACTTTTACGTGTAAAAAGACATAAAAACCTTTGATACGCTGTATTTGTGCCAAGGCCCAATTAGTACTAATTGAGTTGTTTGAATATTTATATATTTTGTATATTAACTGCATTTATTTAAAATCTGAGATCGAAAAAACAGTTTTTTTTACATTTCCGTGAGTACTTTAGTAACCAAATCGTAATTAAAAAATTTACACAATCATTTTGGTTGCTACCGCAAACATACAACACGCATTCTTTCCGCATAGGGTCCGCCACAACAAGAGCCGTAATGGGGGTCTCCTCGGCTCAGATCAAAAGATGAGGTCGCTGGAAAACCGACGGGTTTAAACAGTCTATCCGCATCTGTCGTCTCCATCATGTTAACAGTTAAGTTGCAGATATAGGGATACTTGGACCACCAAGGAGACGTGGGGAAGGAGGAATACACTGGGAGGATGTAGCTGATAAGATAACCAAGTGTCACCCTCATCACACTCATTGTCTGGTGAAACAACAACGTGTAACACGTCATTAAAACATAAAAGTGGCAGCAGTGAGAATTAAAGGTGAACATGTAACAGAGATTTGCTATTTATGAAAAACAACAACCGAATGGCTTGGGTTGTTAGGACCATAGGACTCAAAATATTGCTCATTGTCATTATAAGGCACTTTACTCCGTGAAAGATTACTTAGAATCACCTTCCTACAAATGTCATCAGATTTAATCTATCGAATTCGGGGCATATTTTAACATTTTCAGGACTAAATGACGACAGTATATTTCTCGCAGTACAATGAAGACGAAAAAGCTGAAGCCCTTGACATTCTGGACCAAATTACTGTCCGTGACAAGAAAGTGAATCCCAAAGTGGTCTTGGATCGCTACACGCTACTCGCAGATTAGTCATCAGTATGAAAAAATATGGATTTTGTAACTGAGTAATTTTATTTATCTTACTATCCACTTTAAATAACTATTATACAGGGGGACATGATAAATATGCATTTCAGAAAAGATTCATTCGTTACAGCCAGACGATGCGTTACATTCGATAGTCCTTAATATATCATTTCCATTGCATTTGAAATTCTAGCCACGTATTTCGAGATTATTCATACACTTTTTACAGCTGTTATGCCGCCTAAGCCCGTTGGAATACGTGTCAGCGGATAATCGAGACTAAATCAATCTTTGGCGTTGACGTTGTATATTTACGATGTGCTGTATAGCTATGAATTTATTAGTTTCCTAGTTATGATAATCAGTTATTTGACAGGCTGTGGCCGGGGGGACAACGGTCCCAAGGAAACAGCTGCAACAGTGGCACAAGTGTTTCCAAGCAACAGAAACAATGTATGTATGTTAGATGTTGCGGCTGGCACTGGCCTCTGTGCGTCTAAGGTAAATAGCCAGCTATTCGTAAATCGCCACGATTAAGATCATAGGAACAATTAGAAATACAATATATAGGATGTCATGACGATAACTGTCGGTGGAAGCAAGTGGAAGTCAGGCGGTTTCATCAGTATCTCCAAGCCCGCGATTGGGCTGTTTCAGTTCACGAGATATGTTAAACGATGGGGCTGTTTCAGTTCACAAGATATGTTAAACGATGGGGCTGTTTCAGTTCACAAGATATGTTAAACGATGGGGCTGTTTCAGTTCACATGATATGTTAAACGACGGGCTGTTTCAGTTCACATGATATGTTAAACGACGGGCTGTTTCAGTTCACAAGATATGTTAAACGATGGGGCTGTTTCAGTTCACATGATATGTTAAACGACGGGCTGTTTCAGTTCACGAGATATGTTAAACGATGGGGCTGTTTCAGTTCACAAGATATGTTAAACGATGGGACTGTTTCAGTTCACAAGATATGTTAAACGATGGGGCTGTTTCAGTTCACAAGATATGTTAAACGATGGGGCTGTTTCAGTTCACAAGATATGTTAAACGATAAGGCTGTTTCTGTTCAGAAGATATGTTAAACGATGAGGCTGTTTCTGTTCACAAGACATGTTAAACGATGGGGCTGTTTCAGTTCACAAGATATGATGAACGATGGGGCTGTTTCAGTTCACAAGATATGTTAAACGAATACCAAGTTGTTCTGTGCTCAAACGGATTTATGGAATTGGATACATGCTGAATTGATCAATTTTGTTTGTAAGGTATAAGGATGTTAATTACTTTCTGATCGGAATCTCTGTATCCTCCTCGTAATTGTATTAGTTTGCTTCGGGGTGATTACAACATAAGGAACAAATTACAACGGCATGTAGAACATGATGTTTGAAACATTCCTGGAAACAAAATCCTCTTATTCTCTGGGAAAAGAATGTCCAAGAACGTAGATATATTCGTAGATAATCGGACTTTAAATGAGAAATATGTGAGTTATATGTTGTAAGTATGATATAAGCTGTAGGAGTATCAAGCGGGGTACATGCCACGAGCCGGGGTGAGTGGTATAAAATCTTACGAGGGACGTCTATAACCAAATGTACTCCGAGTGATACTGAAACAAAGAATCTGTCTCACCAACATGTTTTGATATGACGTTGTAAAAGAATTACTACAAATTCAAAATTGAGAGAAAACAGCTGTTGGATTGAGTTGAGGGTAACGTGTACTATGTCACGTGACTTTCATTGACTTGGGTGCGTCTGTGTGCTTAGAAGTGGGTATAAATGTTGTACTTAGTCTGTGAGAGATATGTTGTATTCAATGAAGATCTCGTGAACCAATCAGATCTCATCACTCTGACATGGAGATATTATAAGTGTTTCAATATTACACAATGGAATTTCAGACGTTTTTCGAGGTGGTCGGGTAACCTAGTGGTTAAAGCGTTCACTCATCACGCCGAAGACCCGGATTCGATTCCCGACATGGGCACAATGACGTTGAATGATAGTAATTATCCCTAATGAGAGAAAAATCAACTCAGTCAAGCAAAACATGCTTGACTGTGATTCTCTCATCACAAGGGACACAGAACGGAGGATCCTCACCGTTTAACAAATACTCACGGGTGTAACGACTGTGCCAATGCGACAAAATACTGCCTTGATGGTTTAGTTGGTTGGTTTATTGTTTTACGCCGCACTCAGCAAAATTCCAGCTATATGACGGCGGTCTGTAAATAATCGAGTCTGGACCATCGAGTCTGAGCATCGATCCACGCAATTGGGGTCGATGACATGCTTCAACCAAGTCAGCGAGCCTGACCACCCGATCCCGTCAGTCGTCGTTTACGACAAGCATAATCGCCTTTTACGGCAAGCATAGGTTGCTGAAGACCTATTCTACCCCGGATCTACACGGATTCTGCCTTGTGCAACACCCTGATCCTGATTTTATATTTACCATACGTTCCATGGTTGTATAGACACAGCTGCTGGTTAAAGATATAGGGTTGTAATTAGACGGATCCGTATGATCCGATCTAGGTTTTGGTAGAG